AAAACGTTGAAAAAAAAAATTAAAAAAATAAAAAAATAAAAAAATTTTTTTTAAAAAATGTGTAAAACACACACCAGATTTCTAAAATTTACTATAAAAAATGTAAAATATCTCAATTTTTATACTGATTACATGTTAAAATTGTAACAGTTTGGGCTTACTAGCTCAGAATATATTACTATACTTAATTTCGCTCATTTATTTATTTAAAAGTTTATTTATTTTGAGAGAGACAGAGACAGCCTGAGTGGAGAAGGGGCAGAGACAGAGGGAGAGAGAGAGAATCCCAGGTAGGCTGCATGCTGCCTGTGCAGAGCCTGATGCAGGGCTCAGACCAACGAACTGTTGAGATCATGACCTGAGCCAAATCCAAGAGCTGGACACTTAACCGACTGAAGATTTAAAATGAATATTCAGCTCACATTACATTTCTATTGGGAACTGTTGTTCTAGAGTTAACTTCCAGTTTAAGGAAATATGGGGATGTCACCTTGAAAAAAACTAACAAATATAATCAAAACATGGGAAAGCATACAAAATAACTGGCCAGACTCTTGAAAAGGTCAGTATCATGGTTGCAGAGGGGAAAAAAGGAGTGAGGGAACATGGGTGGATGGCACCATTCTAAATAAAAAAGGTTAATAACAAAAAACAAATGCAACATGTAAACCTTGATGAGATCTTGGTTTAGAAGAAAAATAGCTAAAAAGCTTTTCTTGGTACATTTGGGGAAACATGAATATCAATTCTTCAAGATGACAATTGTCCTGTGGTTATGCAGAGAGTGTTCTTATTCTTTGAAGATGTGTCTTACAGTATTAAAGGTGAAATCTCAAAATGCTTTTGAATGTTTTCAAATGGTTTAAACAATAAAAAACTGTTATCTGTGTGAGTGGAGAGACAGAGAAAGCGAGGAAGGAAGCAAAGATGCATACAACTACATAATAAAAAACGAGGGGTGGGGGTGGAGAATGAACCCAACTGAATGGTGGAAACCGCTCAGTGTTCCGATCTCTATCTAGTCACTTCCTATATTATGTGCTAGGAATAGGGTCATTATTTCCTCCAGTCACTATGTGCTAGCAATAGGGGTTGTTATTTTCTTTTTTTTTTTTTTTTTCAACGTTTATTTATTTTGGGACAGAGAGAGACAGAGCATGAACGGGGGGGAGGGGCAGAGAGGAGACACAGAATCGAAACAGGCTCCAGGCTCTGAGCCATCAGCCCAGAGCCTGACGCAACAGCGGGGCTCGAACTCACGGACCGCGAGATCGTGACCTGGCTGAAGTCGGACGCTTAACCGACTGCGCCACCCAGGCGCCCCAGGGGTTGTTATTTTCTAGTGTAATACAAAACATTCACCCTGAAAACTAGATTTTCCTCCCTAACATTTCTTAAAGCAGAATACATGGCCTCTGGTTGCATAAGTGCTGAGCTCTGAAAAAAGAAGGTCACAAGTTAAGCAGGATCATTACCTGGATGATCATATTTGGCCACAAATACCCCTGACAGTCAAATTCTTTTATTTTCAATAAGTTATTTCTGAATGACTCTGAAGGTTCATACCTGTAGTACTTTCTAAGTCAGTTTGTGATTATTTAACTTTTCGTGTTCAAATTTTTAAAAAAGTGAATATGGTATTTGGCTATTATGTGACAGTGGGTATTTTCAATTTTTAAGTAAGGCTTTACTTCCATAAAAATAGGGCCAAGGCCAGTGTTCAGACAATGAGTATGTTCTGGCTCTTACTGTACTAAGTATCAATGGACAACTTTATATTTTAAATAGTAAGAATATTCTGATTTATTAAACTTGTTTTCCAAAAGTGAGACACAGCTGTTGAGCAGCCAAGAGCTGGACCCCATCTTTTAACTATTTTAGAGGAAAAAAAATCAATGAAAAAAAGAGAACACTAATAATTAGCATACATTTATTTATATCCCATGTTACTAGAAAAAAGGACTTAATCTGGCCTCAACTAACCAGATGCTTTAGGTAAAAACATTTTTCTCTCATCCAATTATTTCTTTTTCAACATGTAATTTTTTAGGATTTCACTTCACTCTATTGACGTTTAGTCAGTAAAGTGGTTAATTTTATGCATTAACTAATTTGAACATGCTCATTAATTTTTTCAATAACTGCTTCCCAAGGGCACACTGAGTAGCAGCAGTCGGGGGAGAACAGGAAGTCAGAATCCTGCTCCAGTGGCATCTGGAGTGCAGCGGGGAAGCCCTATTAAATAAGTGATCCTAACTGTACGATAAGTTCTGATCAGGGAGTAGAAATACAAAGGCAGCCATCGAGTATCATTTGAAACACTGAAATAATTTATCATCTAAATTTGCAGTACCTGACGCCAAATTAAACAAATGATTACCTTTCTTCTTTGATGGTGAGTCTACTTTAGCTGCAGGTTTTGATTCTGAGATAGCCTCCACTAATGATGGATTAGGAAGGTGGTCTGCATCTAACATAGATGAAATCTGAGGAGGCTCCAGGGGAGGTTCGAGAAGTTCTGCAGCAGAAGTTGCACTGCTCATCTGCTTACACGGGGCTCTGGGTTTGGGTTTCACTATGGTACAGACCGTTTCTCCCATGGAAGCATCTTTTTCAACTTCACTTATGAGGTTCTCCTCACTGGGAATTACCCGAAAGTGGGTATTTTCTGATGGTGTAATTGTAGCTGTCCTAGGATGATGATCAGATCTCTCTCTTTTGCTGACCTAAAAAAAGGTGAATTGTTTAAAAATTAAACTATTTTCAAAGGTATTTGTTATAACCTATTTCTTAATCTGGATGCAGGTAAACGTATTCATTTTATTCATAACATTCAGTAAGTATATTACTTTATGTGTGTGACATATTTCATAATTAAGAAGCTGGAAAAATAACTGCATTTTGTTCAATATCATGATATTTACAAGAGATCTATTTGTAACTGTTGTACTATGAAGAGTTAAGCACCAGAGAAGACTAAGGAATTACGACAATTTTTAGATGCCAAGAGGAAGAATGTTCCTTTCAGGGAGAAAACTTGAGTGCTACATGAAAGGTTAGCCCTGCTTGAACTACCTCAAGGCTCTGTTGAAATAGCATAAAAGTGGGTAGTCAAGTATCAATGCAAATTACACATATAAGCAAATGTATACTTTTTATAAACTTACAGGGACTAAACATTTTCTCTCTCAAGTAATGTATCTTTCCAATTCTTTCATTATGAGCTGGCAAAAAGTTTTCATAATCAATTTCCTATTTAAAACTTCAGTGTGGAAATCCTAGTTTCCTTTAGGTACCTTTGAGATTTTCCTTATTAAAATGTTAATTAGCAATCAACATTACTAACTAGAAACACACAATATAATGCTGGAATCCCTCTGCTGCAAACAGTTATGAAAAATGTTAACTTTGGATTTCTTTTCTGTGACCACACGAGGGCACTACCATCATTTATATTCACGGGCACTGGCTCAGAAATCACCACTCCTCCTTTACTCAGAGACAGAGATACCTCACAGGTTTTTAACTGGATGTACTCCACAGGCAAGTGAACATCAGTACCTTGGTGGACTCTGGGAACCCTCCCCACGTCCACTCCATGTGGGACTCCGATCTGAGCAGGCTCTCGGCAGGTTTCACCTCCAGCTCTGAATCACTCTTAGGACACACTGCTGTTGGGGAATAGGGGCTGTAAACAAGGGACAAAAAAATGTGATGCCTTTAAAGTCAGAAACTTCAGTCTTGCTGAGCTCGACACATTAAAGGAAATATAAGCTTGAATATACCAACTTTATCCAGCCAGTATAAAGACTCCTATTGAAGGGAATATAAATTATTTCTTCCATTTGAGTTCTTTAATAATAATAAAAACAACATCAACCAGGATCTAATGAGGACTTGCTGGGTTCTCTATAAACACTTTATATACATTATCCTTACTGATTCTCACAAGAAACCAATGACAAAGATAATTTTACAGGAGATGAAATGTACAGAAAAGATGGGTTAAATGAACAAAATCAATACATGAGAGAAACTGGATTTAAACACAGAACAAAGTGTGACTGCGCCTTTCTTCACGTTATCCGTCTACAGTTAATAGTTGACACAGTGAGATCAGAATTTAAGAACTGTAGAGGGCTAAATTCTATGCAGATTATACAGATCTACACTAACTAACATTGTGAGGGTTAAATCATATCAAATTTAGGAACAAAATAATTGAGAGAAAAGGTCCATATTCATGTTAAAAGTACACATTCAGTTCTCCTATATGAGAGAAATAGGAAATATCATTACTGTCAAATAACAGAAAACCTATTTAATATATCTTTTCTTAAACAAATGGAGAAATTTTAAAAATACTTACTTGTCTAAAGGGGACCAGTCTCCATCAGATAAGGGGTAATGGTCCCCAGAATGGAAGAGCAAAGGCTCCTTAAATTCATCTTCCTTTAAGGAAGCATTTGAAGATCCTCTGTGAAGGAAAAAAACAAAATCAGGAATGATGACACTGTCAGCTTAAAAATATCTCCAAATCTACGGACACATTGTCTAAATGATGCAAATGAAGAAGACCAAATGATTAATAACTAATCCTCTTAGAAGAAAAATATGAAGGAGAAGGGGGATTCACTGATGCCACCATGCCACCCACCATACACTACTGCCATCACTATTTAAATACGGAATAAACAGAGGAAGGACAGAAAAGAATGTGTTTAAAAATGATGTGATTGGGGGCACCAAGGTGGCTCAGCTGGTTAAGCGTCCAACTCTTGATTTCGGTTCAGGTCATGATCTCACAGTTGGTGAGTTTGAGTTTGAGGTCAGGCTCTGTGCTGACAGTGTGGAGCCTGCCTGGGATTCATTCTCTCTCTCTCTCTCTCTCTCTCTCTGTCCCTCTCCTGCTTGCTTGTTTTTTCTCTCTCAATAAATTAAAACTGTGGAAATGATGTGATTAACAATTCCCAGGGTACCTGGGTGTCTCAGTTGGTTGAGCGTCTGACTTAGGCTCAGGTCATGATCTTAGAGTTTGGTAAGTTCAAGCCCCACACATTGGGCTCACTGCTGTCAGTGCAGAGCCTGCTTTGGATCCTCTGCCCCCTTCTCTCTGCCCCTCCCCCACTCATGCTCCCTCTCAAAAACCTAAACATTAAAAAAAAATTTTTTCCTTTTATAGCCCTTCAGGGTAATTGATTCAAAGGCTTCAAGAGGAAAACTAAGGCTTTATGTATATTTCATTTAATCCTTACAAATCTGAAGATACCTTAGTTTTTTTAAGTGTTTCTTGTGTGTGTGTGTGTGTGTGTGTGTGTATGTGTGAGTGGGAGGGAGGGAGGGGGAGGGAGAGAGAGAGAGAGAAAGAGAGAACAAGTGAAAGAGGGGCAGAGAGAGAGGGAGACACAGAATCTGAAGCAGGTTCCAGGCTCTGAGCTGTCAGCACAGAGCCTGATGTGAGGTTTGAACTCACGAACCCTGAGATCAATGACCTGAACTAAAGTCAGAGGTTTAACCGACTGAGCCACCCAGGCACCCCAAGAATATCTTATTTTAGATATCAAATAAATCAAGAATCCAGAGAAGTTTAGTAATTTGCCCAGAGTCACAGAGCTAGTAAGTAGCTGTATTCAAAACAAATCCTTGTTCTTTCACTATATTCTTCTGTGTATTAAAGAAAATATAAGACTATGAGCTAAAAACAAGAGTTATGGTTCAAAAATTCAAAAATATTCTAAAAAACTCTTAAAAACATGCAGAATTTATTTTTCTTTTTGTTTGGACCAAGAATTACCTGAGAACTTTCTCCTTATTTAGAATCTACATGACGTGTGGATATGAGGATAATGATACAATAACATAAAAAATGTTTTTTTAAGATTCATACACAGACCTTAGAACTATAGGAAGATGAGGGGTGCCTTGATGTCTCAGCTGGTGAAGCGTCTGACTCTTGATTTCAGCTCAGGTCATGAGTTCATGTTTTGTGAGTTTGAGCCCCCCCATCAGGCTCTGTGCTAACACCACACAGCCTGCTTGGGATTCTCACTCTCCCTCTCTCTCCCCCTCCCCCTTGCACATGTCCCCATATTCTCTATCTTTATAGGAGGATGAACTAATGCCAATAGGGTTTTAATTAATTTACCCTTTGGTTTTTCTTGAATCTGCATAGTTAATGTAACTAACTTGCCCTATAACCTTGAAAACATCCCTCAGAAGCACTGTGGGCCCCAGTTTTTCATATTTAGTTGGAAATTTATCACTTGTCCTGTCTATTTCAGAGTTTATATGAGATTTACGCAGTGTATTATGCTGAGAGCTCTGAGAAGTATAAAGAAAAACTATACTTTCCAGTTTGAGAGCTTCTTATAAAAAATTCTACATTCTACCAGGACAGATATTCTACATAAAATGAGAATATCTGTGTTTACTTAATATGGCAGACTAAAAATAAAGGTAAAAATCACTTTAATTTTTAATGTTACCTTTCTTCCTTTATATCTTTGTTTAACATGCTCTGCTTTACTACCTCTGCCATGCAATAGTTTTTCCATATAGTTGTATCTTCTAATTTAAGGTTTTCCCAACTCTAATATTTCTCTCAGAAGAATTAAACTCTGGTATAATACCTCATTTCAAGGGGAGAAAAACCTATACTTGAAAAAGGCAGATATCTAGCTAAAAACATTCTATTTCTCAAAAAATGAACATCAGGAGGGTGGGTTTTTTTTCAGGTTTTTTTTTTTTTTTTTTTTTTTTTTTTTTTTTTTTTTTTTTTTTTGAGAGAGTGCAAGTGGGGGAGAGGGGCAGCAGGAAAGACAGAGAGAATCCCAACCAGGCTCTGTGTTCTCAGCACAGAGCTTGACGCAGAGCTCAATCTCATGAACCATGAGATCATGACCTGAGCCAAACGTTTAAATGACTGAGCCATCCCAGTGTCCCTTAAAAAATGAACATCAAATGGTAACAAAAAGGGAAAATGTGATGCTTATGAATCAGATGTTTATTTGACAAATTTAAAAGGAGAGTAGAGTTTGACGCATCACTATCCATATGGTTTGAAAGTGGTTTGAAAAGAACAATGTAAAAGTCACAGAAACTTACTTATTTGGCATATATTTCACTGTAGTATAAAAGCTAAGTCAAGAAGAGCTCAGAAAGCAATCTGGTATTAGTAAAATATTGCTGAGAGAAAGAAAGATCAAGATCAGGCACCATTAAGAACTTATACCCCAGGGAAGACATGAAATGGTCTTCTCTGGGCATATCCTGACAAAAATTAGGCCCGTTAGTTTAGACGATTATTTTAGGTGATGAAAAAGGTTGCTGATGTTGAGGTTCCCTTTGGTCCCATGATCCATTAAATAAAATAAGGCTTCTAAAAACTTGCTAATAAGCACTTTTCAAAATGGCACCTGTGCCTAAGAACATTCAACAAGCTAGGTAGACCATGACAGAGGAACTTAAATTGATGATATGAGGGTAAAAGGGAGAGTAGATACTGGAATGTGAGGACAACAGTACAAACGCTGACTACATCCGTGTCAAAATATAGGACAATTACGTACATTAACACTGAACAGCAGAGAATTCGCAGTAGGGTAAACAGTTTAACCCTGAGTCAGGGTTGGGGGATGTGGGAGGTCCAGTTGCTGGAGTTCATACTAAGTGTGTATAAGAGAACACTTCAGCCTTCACAGATGTATCTCAACATGGCTTCAAATTCAATACCATTTCATAAACGAATTATCCTTCCTATTCAAAAGCCAACAGAGGTTACATGATGTATATACAACTGACAAAAATCACTCAATTGCATACTTGCATATTTAAATTCTATAAATACAACTATATGTAAATTATTATCTCAGTTTTTTAAAAGCAGGGAAAAAAAATCAATAGAAAGTTAAAATAAATGGCCTGCTTTATTTAAGTGGGATAAATTAGAGGGACTAAATGAGTCTTTGTCTATTTAACTGGGGGTATTATGTAAGAGATAAATAGGGTTGCTAACCACCATGACCAAAGATTACTAACTCGGTAAACAATATGTTTATCCTCAGCCTTAGCACAGTACTGGTCAATAAATTTCAGTGTGGCTAATGATCTCATTTTGCTTTTGGATATGGGACATTTCCGATAAAAGATAACCTCATAATAGGATTGAAAAGAGCCCTGCAATGTTTATCTGTCTACTGTGTCAGAAATCAAAGGGAGGAAAGGCAGGGAGCAGGCTGTAAGATTCCAGTCATCAGAGAAGAACATGGAGGGTTTTCTGGAAGCCAGTTATTGATCAGGAGATGAAGTCCGCAGCCTCAGGGCAATGGAGGCTGTTTATAAAAAGTCTTAGGCTCCCTCTACTTAGCTCCCAGATACAACTTGCAAACAAGTCTGCTTTGGTGGATTAAAAGAAGAGATTCCTTTCTGATGGTGCAGTCTTAAGCCTCCATTTTTAATAGTGCTGGGTATTTTAAGTATTTCACCAGTGGCATATTTTGTACATTTGCACCCATGATTGTGCTACAGCACCATCCAATCCGAAAAGACTCTTCCCTCTAAAAGATTACTTATCCTAGGTACAACATTTTTAATACATATACACACTAACACATCCTTCCATCCTCTGGAAGGACAAACAAGGCTTCCATGCTACATACAAGTCCATCTTGAGTAAGGGAGAGGCTCACTAGGTACAATTTACACAAAGCTCTCTGTACTTTAAAGCTCTCCAATTTTCACTTAATGTGTTTCTCCTAGCTATGCAACAGCAACTTGGTTTAAGGGTGGTTTCTTCTTTCACCTGCTTCATTCATGGAGCCTCAATTAACCTTAATTCTATTATCCATGAAATTCTTGAAAAGTAAAGAGAACGCTATTTAAGTAGGGCACTATTTATCAAAATAAAATAAAAACCACTTTTAGGTATTTCTCTGGCAACAGAATTTCTTTCCTAAGTGGTAGGGGCCTGAGGAGGGGAAGATACTCGAAAGCTGCAAATGTCCCAACCCTATCTGATTTCTAGGTTGCACAACTGCAAAAGCAGTTGACTTCCTATTCTTTTTCTCTGATTGTTTAATATGCTGCTAATACTTTTGATCCTAAGTATCTTTCTCCAAATTATTTTAGAATCTACTGAGTTGGAAGGGGCCTTGCAAACCACATAGTTCAATTCTCTTATTTCACAGATTAAAAAACAAAGGTCCAGAGTAATCAAGTGGCTGCTATTCCACAATCAAAAACAGAAGAGGCCCCGTCTTCTACCTTTTAGCTCAGTGCTTATTTCAGTATACACCTGACCTGAATTCTCAAGACTGTTACATTTTGTCCTTTTTTTTTTAAGTCCTAATTTCTGTTGGCTGCATAATTAAGCAGATCCTTTTTTAAAGGAGATTTTAGGAAAGAGTTCCTCCACGCGGCCGTATCTATGATCCACGTAATCCAGAGAAAAAGCAAACCACCAAACTCCTGAAAATTATCATAAGCCACTACTTCACAAGCATTCTGACATGCCTGCTTACCAAGCAAGCAAGGTTCTGGCTCAGAGAGAAAGAACTAACAACCATGAACTGTTGACCAAATCAGTATTCTGACAGATTTGGCTGAAGCAGGCAGTTGTTCACACAATCTAGAAAGTAAGGCATGCACTAATATATCTGCAATGCATTCACTTTCAACATTAATTTTGTAAATTAATTCCTTTAGAATAATGATTCTTATACATTTATCAGGTAACTCTGCATATGTTTTAGAAATGTTTTAACTTCCTAAACTGAAGCTGCAGGTTGTTCAAGAGTTCTAAACTTTGCTCAATTGTGTTATGATAAAGGACACGAATAAACTTTAAGGGCAAAAGTGTTACTTCAGTGTCCTTTCTGGTGGATCTTGGAAAAACTGTAGGTAGAACTTCAGGGTCACTGCGGGCAACAACTTCTTGTCCAATGCTCATCAGTAAAGTAAACCACCCCATGACACACATATGGTCCTCTTCCAATGCCACAGCAGTCACTGAGTGAACAGGTGGAAGATAACCTTTTACAAATTGAACTTCTGAACAAAAAAATACATGTTCTACCCCCTAACCTTCCAAACCCAGTGCTGACCTAAAAATTGGCATATTTGAGCTCTTCTACTGAGCTGGTAAGTAAGTGGTCAAAGATTTCTCACTTGAAAAAAAAACACCACCACACACACAAAAATCCTCCTTTCCTTTTCAATTTACTGGGAATGTTTTGATGATAAACTCAAAATAAAAACTCTAAACTTCTCAGAAACAGGTGAGATACCAAGACTACTGAGTAGGGATATACACCAGATGTGGCCTCAGGGCCAAGTCACTAATTCAGACCTTCTTTGTAACTTACAATTTATTTGGCTTTTGGAAACCTACTGATGGAAAGACACACACTGCCAGTCTGCTTCAAGTGGTATGTCAATACCACAGCAGGACGTCTGATGGCAAATTTTATAGAAGAGCAGAAAGGAAAAAAAAAATGCCTCTTACACTGATTCCACAATAAATTGTCATGGGGAAAAACAAGTGCAAAACTCACACTGCAGATCCATGAAAGAAACAACAACAACTCACTGTACCTCAGCTCTGCCCATAGCATGTGTGGATGCCTGGCAACCACACTAAGAGCCCTACCTTGCTGACTGGGCCCCCTTGTCATCGTCAGAGCTCATTTCCACATCCACGGTATCTTCTGCAGCAGGAGAAGCGGTCTGGTCTTCCTTCTTACTGTCCTGTTTGCATTTCTTTCTCCTTCGTTTTTTCTTTTTCACAGAACTTGAAGTGAAAACTGTTTCCGTTTCCAACATGTGGGAGATGTCTGAACTCTGAGATGGTCTTTCATTTCCACTAGATTTCATCAAAGGAGTATCGATATCTTTAAAGAACTGATCTTCAGTAGGAATTGGTGAGGTGGCAAGGTAGGCAGGAAGCTTTTCCTTAAAGAGAACATGGAGAAAGAAAAGTCCCTGACAAAGTGGACAGTGAATCAAAACAATAATGAACTCTTTGCATATCTAAATTCACAGTGGTAGGAAGAATACATAGTCCTTAAAGGTAAGAATGTCACACTGAACTACGTTACTGCCCACTCTATTCTGAATAGGTCTTTACCCTGGTACACACAGATAATTCATCTGGTCCATGTAACTGAATATATTTGAAGGAACCAATATACCAAATCAGCACACACACACACAAACTGTAATTAAAGCACAGCCAGTTAAATTTTCTATAAAGGGAAGTTCAAAGCAGCAACAGCAGCATTCCAAGGAGGCAATACGAAGCACTGTGTCAAAAACTTACAAAGAACAGTAACAGGATAAAGCGGAAGGCAGGGATCAGGAACACCCCATCAGACAGGGGGCAGTAGGACAGGTAAGTGAAGTGAGGATCTCCGGTAAATTGTGTTTGCTAAATTAAATGAGGGTGAAAAGGTGATTAAAATACACAATACCCTGTTACAAATGAAGTTGGCAGATTTTAAAACTGTAACGTTATTTAAAACATCCTTTCAGGAATTCAAAAGAAGAAAATAGGCTCAACAGTTAGAAATAAACTCGTAATTTAATATCAAATAAATGACCAAAGTCTGGTGTTCAGAAGATTAACTTCGTAGTTACTGGCTTCACCCCTTTGTATCATGGGGGAAATGGAAGGTAGGTAACATATAAATTAACTTCAAGTAACTTAGAATACTCAAGTTTTTACATAATAGTCCTGAAAATGAGTGAATTTTCATAATTGTTCTAAATCAAGCTTTTGAATTTGGCTTTGACAGACATATTACCCCGGAGCCAAAATTCTGTTTATCCAGCACTGTGATGACAGGATATTATTCCACATGTCCCCAGGGCACCCAAGTTACAGGCTGTGGTCTCTGACTTCCAGGGCCTTTTAATTCAAAGGTCTTTTTTATTAATTGTATAAATAAAGTTTACTGGTACTTTCTAAAAATTTTTTAATTTGAGACAGAAAGATAGAGAGAGAGAGAGAGTTCATGCACGAGTAGGGGAGAGGGGCAGAGAAAGAGACAGAATCTTAAGCAGGCTCCGTGCTGAGTGGAGGGGGCTTGATCCCACAACCCTGAGATCGTGACCTCAGCTGAAATCAAGAGTCAGATGCTGAACCGACTGAGCCATCCAGGTGCCCCAAAGTTTACTGGTACTTCTTAAAAGCTATTTTGTCTCTGGTGGTGTTTCCTAGTTCTATTATAGCACTATGTGTATTGTGTTGGGGGTGATGAAATAACCTAAATCTCTATCAGTACAAGAATGGTTAAATTGTGGTGTATCCATACTATGGATGATTGTGCAGCTATTAACAGGACAGGGTTAGATACAGAACTACCAGCTTGAAAAGGATGATGATATACAGTTCAGATGAGCAAAGTCTGAGAGAAACAAGTATGTAAATAAATGGCAGCCAGATGGGTGTTGGTAATGCTTATCCCTTTTATAACTGTAAACTCCTGGAGAGTGGGGGCATATTTTACTCATAGTATGTGGCATAGAGTAGTAATGTTGGATGAATTAATATTTAAAAAAAAAAATTCACAGAGAAGCATATGAAAGAAAATCTGAATAATTTGGTGATACATGGGATAGGCAAAAGGGGCTGGAAAGCTGACACTCTCCAAGTTAACCTTACTAAGCATAGTTGAAGTGGAATCATCAGAAATGACCACGAGAACCACGTAACAAATGATCGATAACCCAGCCCTCTCGCTCACTGATTTACACAAAGCCTAATCAACCAATGTCCTGAAATATACATGATTTTAAGGAACACATCAAAAATATTTTATTCTTGGGGCACCTGGGTGGCTCAGTTGGTTAAGTGTCCAACTCTTGATTTTGGCTCAGGTCATGACCTCATGGTTTGTGAGATTGAGCCCTGCATCAGCTCTGCACTGGCAGCGTGGGGCCTGCTTAGGATTCTCCCTCTCCCTCTCTCTGCCCCTCCCCTGCAACCATGTATGTGCTTTCTCTCTCAAATAAATAAAAGTTAAAAATATATATATTTTATTCTTGTGGTAACTCATTTATTGTATCATTCTGCCTCTTGCTTCTGTCTCTGATGAGGAAAAACTTTGATAAGGCCAAGCAAACACAAACAAGGTAATATAAAAACAAGTAATTAATAGGTACTAAAAAAAAAAAAGACTGCTCTGGACTGTTTTCATAACCATACTTTGCACTGCTGCTTTACATACTGGTATCTAAATTGTTGGTTTCTCTCTAAACTAAAAATGATAAACAATCTCATTCTATTTTTTGGTGACTTTTCTTCTTTGAAAACCCCAAAAAAGTAGTCCTGTATCCTTAATAACTTGAAGGTTATCAGTTTTGCTGAGATTTTATTCTTTATGATGAAAGCTAGAAGATGCCTCTTCTAAGATCCATCAGAAACAGTTTACCACCATCAGTGGATACATGGGGTGAAGGGGTGGGGAGGAACAAACTGTTCTCTCTTACTTAAAGAAGCCAAACATGCAATAATGGTTTAAAAAGATACAGGCCAATTAATTTAAATCTCTGGAGACCATAATAAACTCATTCACAAGCCTATTCAAGATTAGCGATTCAATGTCCCTAACCAAAACGGTTAAACATGTTTTCCAAGTTTAAAGGTCACACATGTACAAACACACACACAGCCTGCAGAGAGATATGCCTTCATTACTTAGGTGGAACTAACTTCCATTCAAGGTGTAAACTGTAACAGATACTAAATAAGAAAGCTCATTAAAGACAGAGAAAAAGAGCAAGTGCAAGGGCCTTCTATATGCTCTCTGTATTCTGACACTTGGTGCTGAGAAAAGTGCCTCACTCACTCTAGCTCCTTTCTGACAGCTTAGTTTTTCAACCTAAAACTAAAGCTTGTTTAACCTGCAACAATCACCTCTATAACTAACCATGAAAACTGAACATTTCTGTCTGGGGACAGATCCTGGAGCCTGAATACAATGTGTAAAGTAAATGTGACCCACTAGAACTTACATATTCCTCTTCAGTCTCCTCCACAAAGAAAGCTTCCCCATTGTCACCCAATTTCATGTGAAGATCCACTGCATCGCCATTGATTTCTATATCAATCTAAGAAGAGAAAGTATGATTTAATATTAAATCTTTCATTCATGCTAAACGAAGCCTAAATTCTGGGTTCTCAAGCCAACTTAGTATTGAGGTTCCTGGAGTGATAGTCTCTGAGAAACACTGCTACCTGCCCCACCAACCTGCCTTAAAAAACCAAACAGATCTGGGAAGGAAGGGGATAGGTAACCAGGGATTGAAAGAAAATATTGTATCATTTTTAGAACATAAAATCTTGTACTTAATTTCCCAAATGGCATAAAATAGAGAAATGTTATGGTCAACAAGCAATTGAGCACTTCCAGAGTTACACCACAGACAGGCCTCAGCTGGCACGCTTCAGACAACCACAAATTTCAGTTAATGCAATATGTTACCTGTAACTCCAGAGAGCACAGGCTTCACTGCCAGCTCTCTGTCTACAGATCACTACATAACAACAGATGCCCAGCATGACTGGTAACCCATCGCATCACTTTTTCAAAAAGTGCACTAGTGACTAGCGCACCAAATCTATTATTACTCAGTTCAGGCACAGACAGTAAAGCTTGTAGTGGTAGTTGTCTTCTTGTTTCCCACTGATAAACCCATGTGACATTTTATAAAAATGGATAATTAAGAGGAAACTGGCCAAGATCAAAATGCCACAAACTAAAAGTAACATTACTGGAAGTAAACTTCAAACTGCATGTCAACAGTTACAGAAGAAATAGCTGACTGCGGGAATGGGGACCCTGCTGCCACCTGAAAGGCTCAACATGTGCAGCCAGAGGCACCTGGTGAAGGCAGGCTCATCCACACAGAGGAGCAGAGTGGCTGTGACAAAAAGGATGAAGATGGCCCAGATGAAGTGACGTGGGCAAAAAATGTCCACACTGAAGGAACTCTGACATACTTCATGACATTGAATGTTTCAGAGCTGAACACCTGAAAGGTGATCCAAATTCAGAAAAGCATACGAAAATTTGCCAAGACGAGAGATGTTTGTTCGGTATCCTAAGTTTTACATCAAGAAGGCAAGCACTGTTCAAACCAACTAATCTTGCTAAGTTATATTACAAAGAAGACATGTTAGTTCTCAATGTTCCTAATGTTTTAAATTGCAGTGTACTAAACACCAACTTACTATTTTTCATTTTCTTACACATTTTTAACTGACAATAGAAAGTTTTTACAAAAATTTGTAAAATTCATGGAAAAATCCTAATTTTTCTCAGTTATTAAGTTTCCTTTGGGTTTTGACTTGCCCATTCATTTTTTCTATGTATATATTTTTTATGAATAGAATTTATTGTCAAATTGGCTTACATATAACACCCAGTGCTCATCCCAACAAATGCCCTCCTCAATGCTCATCACACATTTTCCCTCTGCTCCAACCCCCATCCACCCTTAGTTTGTTCTCTGTATTTAAGAGTCTCTTGTGGTTTGCCTCCCTCCCTCTCTGTAACAATTTTTCCCCTTCCCTTCTCCCATGGTGTTCTGTTCAGTTTCTCAAGATCCACATATGAGTGAAAACATATGATATCTGTCCTTCTCTGACTTATTTCACTCTGACTTATTTCCAGTTCCATCCATGCTGCTGAAATCTGCCCAGTCATTTTAATGATCTACACGACCATGCAAAGTAAGGACTGTTTATATATAATATTAAATACTACTTACCACTTAAAAATAATGTAGTCGTTCATCTGTAGACTGTGAATAAATGTTTTTAAACATCTTATAATAATAAATGAACACCAACTTTCGAAACTCTTACAGATAAACTTGTAAACTCCAGTTTTAGACTGGTTCAGGGGACATAAAAACGAAAGTACAGAAAAACGTAATACGTATATAAATAGAGTAGTCCACAATTTAAGTGTTCTTAAATTTGCAAAACCATTGGGTTTTTCCCAGTGAGGACCAATTAATTATCCCTTCTGACACTGAGTGCTGGGTCACATCAGGTCAGTGAAGATCATTAACTGAAACATGTTGTCAAAATGCTTATTATAAAAATCCTGTTAGTAACATAACCACACTAAGGGATAAGGAATAAAACTAAATATTCTAAGACTAAAGACAAAAAGCACTATAAACAAATATTGTAGTAATTTAAAAAAATCACAGAGATGTGGGTAACAATTCTAAAACTATTTTATGTGTATTTTAGGATTGAACAAATAAGTAAACATATTGTAGGTAATAAGAGCCATGTTTCTCACTGTCAGAAAAAGAAGTTATAAATAAGGAGATGAGAAGGAACCTTCTAGGGATGGACTGGAATCAGAGGAATCAGTGTGAACTCATAATTTTTACAGACAAATGTAGGTACACGTATTTACATACAGAGATTTTCCAGCTCTGCCTGCTGACAGGGCCTAGAGGCAATGACACCTCAGTAATGAGCACACCTAGTGACCAGATGCTTTGTTTCTAGATACGATTCTCTAATAAAAGGAACCACTGCTCCTCAGAGAAACAAAATAATTACATTCCAGGGCTGAGGCAGGTAAAGTAGATTCTTGTCAAATAGCTCATGGTGCCAAAAAGTAAGGAAGTGCTCAAAAAATGATGGGAACATATCAAAAGGACTCAACCTGAAGGAGCTACCTACTAACTGCCATATCTGGGACAATTTGAGCAACTACATAATGATAATAATGGATTATAACCCAAAGAGTAAAATTAATATTCAGAAGTCCATACTGATCTGAATAAATAATTGAATAAGTAAACAGAAGGATAGCTCTTTGATACAGTAGAATTTCAGTTAATAAATGGAGTAGAAAGGATGGAAAACAGAAAATCATTTGGCAAACACCACAGTAAGAACTACTGCAAGCAAAATTCACCAATGTATGCTAAAATCGATGGGTGGAAGTACGATGAAAAACAGTATATTTGCACAATCTCCAAGTTTCTTCCCACAAATAAATTTTTAGACGAGGAACCTAGTAGACACCACTAACCAAGGGATCAAAGTTAACATCACCAATAATGAGATACGGCACCATGATGGGCTTCCTAAGATGATATACTGAGAAGGGCACACTATCACTCTGTGTTATTCTTCCCCAAATGAGAAAACATCAGACAAACTCAAACTGAGGGACAATCTACATAATAACCATTCTGTCCTCCTCAAAAGTCAAGGTTGTAAGGAAAGACAGAATGGTTACAGAATATAGAATGAAAGTAATGTGGGATCCTGGATAGGATCATAGACAAAAAGACCGTAGTGAATCTGAATAAGGTCTTTAGTTAATAATATTATACCAATGTTAACTGCCTAGTTCTGATAAATTGTACCACGGTCATGTGAAATGTCAACAGTAGGGGAAGAAGTGGGTGACAGATATAGAAATTATTTAAAATACATTTGCAACTTGTTAAACATCTAAAATATAGGAGTTAAAAATATGCTAATGTCATTAAAAAACTGACTCAGAACAGTCACAGACTGGAAGAGACTGTGAGGACAGCTAAGTGTTCCATGTCATGACTACAGTGATGCTTTCATGAGTGCACCTATGGTAAAAGTTTTAAAATTCTATCCTTTGAATATGTGTTACTGTGTTAATTACAAAACGAAAAAAGCTCTTAAAAAAGGAAAAAAAATTATAACAGAAAATGAGAAAAATAGGCAACTATTAAATACAAAATAACAAAATCCTATGCAAAAGAAAATTCCTATTTAAGAAATGTTAACAAAATTATTATTTTGTAAGAAACTCATTTTTCTTTCACTTTTTAAATTTTTTTTAAATCTTTTTTTATTTTTGAGAGAGAGAGAGACACAGCGCAAGCAGGGAGGAACAGAGAGGGAGGGAGACACAGAATCTGAAGCAGGCTTCAGGTTCTGAGCTGTCAGCACAGAGCCTTATGCAGGGCTCGAACTCACCAACAGTGAGATCATGACCTGAGCTGAAGTCAGACACCCAACCGACTGAGCCACCCAGGCGCCCCGCCCCTCTTTTACTTCTTAAAAGAAAAGGGTGCATAAAATAAGTTTCCACAGGACAAACATTAATTCATTTCCCAACTAAGTTCTTCATGTTTTAGATTACTGTGAATATTTATGGCTTAAATAAAGCTGGGCAGGACATGGAATCTAATGCTTCCAAAACCAAGTAGTGCAACAAATTCCTGGGCTAAAAAAATATTATTTTCAGGTTAAGTTTAAAATGTGTTTCATAATAAACTGGTTGAAGTCACATAAGCATCTCGAATCATCTATTTCTGAAGCAGCTCTAATAGCAGCGGCTTCTACATAGGAAAAATGTTTTCTAAGTTCCATGAGGGCTGATGAAGTAAAGAAATAGGTATATTTTCCTAGACTGTAAGAGCAAGGGGACTGGGAAAACTAAATTTGCTCCATAATGCCAAATTTTAGGCTTCTCAGGATGACTTAAATACTTAATTGCATTTTTTCAACTAGAAGTTGGACATAAAAATAATTGAAATTATCATTTGTTTATTGATTTGTGGTTGTATAAATTCTTTAAGTTAAATTACACACAAATTAAATATTAAAGTTATTTTACCTTTCATAAAAAAACATAACAGATTCAAACTAGTATCCTTCAGATGTTTCATCTTTGTAGGTTATCCATTTATCCTAGGGAGTTGGGAAAATAGAACAATGCCTCTTTCAGAATGCAGTCTGGTTTTAAACCATCTTAAAAAAATTCACCCTTCATTTATAGCCTGTCTGACTTTAGTGATCAAATATGACATTTTCCAATATGACTAGTCTCTTATTCTGCCTCTAAATGGAGTTTGGTTACCCCCAAATTAAATCTAACATCAAATTGCGGCAATACTAAGGGTACTAAAAGAATATGCCAGAAGCTCTTTAAGTAACAAAGCAAAAATATTAAGAAATATTTTGAGAGATGGCACCAAATTGGAATAAATGCTTCCCAAGGTGATTATTTTAAAGAGGGTACTCATTTTGATGTACTACTCCTTATAAACTGGTATCTAAAACAATATTCCTATCTACATAGTCTTACTTCCTACACTGTGGCTTAATCTTGCTCAATATATATGACTGAGATGTTGAAATAGAACTGATTTACTTTTTAGAAATACCTGCTATAGCAAACACTTGTTTTGGCATACCACTCTTCAGGTAAGAATATCAGTGGTGTCCTCTGGAGATCTCCTCATCCTCTATTTCAGACAGTTTCAGGCATGGCTTCATGGGGCTGCTGTCTAAGCCAAGCCAATCAGTACATTCCACCCCAGCTATAGTGACTGGTCTGCAAGGTACATGTGACTCAAGACTGACAGGGAGATTAAACACTGATACTTCTATGGGAAGAAGCAGCTCTCTTTCCCCTAGGGTTGCTGAGTTCATGGGAAATAAGCCAGGAGGTACTGTGGCCATCTTGCATTAGAGAGAGCATACACAAAAGGAGACAGAGCTGAGAGGTGGGCAGAGACAGGGTTCTGGTTAACACCCTCAAAGACCTGATTAATTCAAATGCTCCTGGACATTAGTTATGCAAGCCAATAAATTCCCTTTTTTTGCTTAAGCTAGTGCGAGGTGGATTTTTGTCACCCACAATGGAAACTTCCTGTCTAATACACTGGATTATTTAACTTTGATAAGTAATCAAATCATTAGTTTTGCGTTAAATCAACAAAATTAGTATTTTAAAAACAGCAACTGCAGGTTTACCTTCTGAAATTCAACTCGGGTTATGAAATATACTGGGAGTAGTGGTGTTGTATCAAACAAAAACATACCAGTGACAGTGGGAAAATTATTATACAGTATCTCCCTAACCAGAAGCTTTAAGATGATTATGATTTCCAGTCCAGGTGCCACCATTATAGGTGTCACCATAATTGGGGTCTTAGTGTAAAATCAGTGAGTAGCTTTCCCTAGTCCAAACTGACCTAAAATAAGACAGTTAATCCAAACTGCCTGAGTATCTCAAGGCAGACATGGTTCTGGTTTTACTGTCGCAGGAAAGCTGTGTTTCAGTCAAAGAGCCAAATTTCTGCTCAAACACATCCTTTGAGCTCCTAGGGGTACTAGCGCAAAAGAAAGTTTCCCTTTTCCTGTGTCTCATGGACAGACTATTAAAATCCAAGGGTTTGACAAGATACAGAATACAGTCATTTCGGTAGCCTGGTACTGAACTTGTACTTTCTTAATTAGAGGCACACAGCATGTAGAAAGAGGTATGTTGTCTGTCCGGTCACCATTTATAGATACACAAATGCTTACATGTAACATCAGCCTGCAGATTCCATTCTGAAAGGCCAAAAGACTTAACCAATCTGCTGATCAAAATCCAGATCACAGAAAAACAAACAAAAGTGCCATATAAGCCATTTCCTGAATAGATCCTTGCACAACTAATGGGAAATTTCAGCGCATAAACAATTTTGTACAGATTCTCCCAAAGCAGATAAAAACTGAAAGTACTATACGTTAGTGTTACTGGCTAGAAATAAAAAATTCCAAGAAGCTAAACTGTGGCTAAACACTGTTTTGCAAGGGAAAGTTTCCAAGTTACTAAGTGAATTGCGACTGCTTTTGGTTTCCAAAGGGTGTCTCTGAACAGAGGCCGACCATACAAACCCTGCCATCCTGCAAGGTGGTTCTCCAGTGAAATACTGATCTATAACACCTCGGAAAAAAGATGTGTGTTTGTTTTGAGGGCTGGGGGGGGGGGGGGGGGGGGGGGGGGGGGGCAAGTGGGGAGAATATATAGTTGTGTGCAACCCATAAGCCTTTTCTTCCATCCCCCAAAAAACTTAAGTCTAATTAAAACACAAATTTCTATTTTAAAGAATAAGATTAGCTATGCAAAATAGCCAAAATCTGAAAATAGATGATTCGAATTATGCCAGTGGTCCTCTAACATCTAGTTCTGTGACCCAAAATGGTGTAGATCTTTCATTGTGCTTTATAATCCTGACAAAATCTCCCTCCATTGTTTAGGTAAATAACGTGGGGTAAGAGCAGAAGGGTAAAAAAAATACTACCATGTACCTGCAAAGTTTTATTACTAGCTCAATTTTCTAACTTGATTGACATCAAATATACTAACATGTCTTACCATTGTTCCAATATTTGAAGGAGAGAGGATGTAAGAAAAAGGAAAATACAAATTATCTTCTTTCTAAATGAACCTTCCCTGAAATAAAACTAAACGCCAACAAGCCCATGATGTGAGTTTGCATTTAGTAAGATCTGGAGACAAGTCCTGGTATCACTAACAAAATTTAGATACAAATAAGATTCAACAGCTTTCTCAAAACAAGGAAAACTGGCATTAATTTTACTTAAACAAATGTAATGTATTCTTGATTACCTCAGTCTATTCCATTCATAAATGGTATGAAGCCACTGCTCTAAATATTTTAAAGTAGTATATAAGGTAAAGAAACTTTTTCTAAATATACCTAACATTCTCCATTTACAACTCCAGTTTCTCTATTTTGCTCCTCTGAGCTGCAACAAATGGGATTATCAAGATAATTTTCAGCTTTTTTTCCCCCTTGGAGAGACTTTCTATGCTTATGAATTCAGCAGCAACTTCAAAATAAAACATAAAGGCTGACTTCTCATATGATTATCTTCAACATTATACAGGTTTTCCTTAAAAAAAAAAAAAAAAAAAAGAGCCAGAGAGAGTACACAGGAACAACTTATTCTGTTCCCATCTAACCTTTCACCCTCCTTGAGAACAAGCTGTCTCCTGTACTCACCACTTTCTCTTTGGATCTCAGGACTCCCAGCTTCCCAAATCGAACGTGAAAAGGCGAACACTGATAGGTGCCATCCTGCTGTCGCACCACAATGACATCGATGCAGCCAGACAAAGTAGCTTGGTTAATGCCCTTGTAGAGTTCCTTCACAGTGACAATCACCTGCCCAGCCAGCTGTCCCACATAATTCATGGTTTGAAACTACAAAAGACAGGGGAAAAAAAAATAGATGAGACAGTAACACTGAATCTGTGGATCTAATGACAGAGAAAAAAACAGTGGTGATTAAAAGTGTATTGAGCATTTGTATGTCATATTAGACATTGTTAACTGTGCTGATCTTGAACCAGTTAGTCTCACGCTACCACTGTTTTTACACAATTCCACACAACGACAAAATCAGATGGTTCTCCTTTGTATCATGCATGAGAGGCTGTCCCAGACAGGGCCTGAGGCATGCCACTAATTCACTTCTCTCCTCACCCCAGCTGGGTTAATTTATTCATTCTTTAGACATCTATTTAACTGTCATTCCCTCAGAGGAGCCAGGTTTGATTTTCTTTTGTAGGGCTGATCATGATTCTAATATATTAATTATCTGTGTACTGTCTGTGCTTCCTGCTCCAACTCAAATTCCTTCCCCAACATTGCCAAACTGTAAAATTCTAAGTTCCCTTTCCTTTTCCATCATCATGGATTCTGCTAGCTGCCAGCAGGGGTGTCCCTCTGAAATTTAGAACCTGCACAGAACCACCAAAGAACCCGGACTACCACCACTGCCCTCTTGCCCAAGATCACTAGGAACCTGGGGCAACTGCATCCACTCTGGCCACAGCAGCCAAGCAGAAAAAATGACCAAGGATCACATTTGGGAGAAACCAGAAAATCCACTGTTTCTGCTGAAGACAATTAAATGAGAGATGAATTTTCTACAAAACTCTACAAAAACTGAATATGGTTCAGAGGCATGCTAGATTAAATAAACAAACTCTGGGTGAGCTAGACTGGGTCTAACCTATTTATAGTGTTATTTTTATCAAAAATCCCCTCAGTGCTTGAACACAACTCACTAGAACATACATTCATGTTCTATAAAGTTCAAAGTACAGAAAAGGGTTTTAATCTTGTTGGTCAACTACAATTAACTAGTCAAATCGGGATCACTATGCTATAAAAGGATCCTCCAGAAAAGGTTAAAGATGGACATGAATGTGCACCTGACCCAGGCTGCAGGGTCGCTAGGAAATGCTTGCTTCCTCTGCCCCACATCCGCTGTGGCTGAGGCTAGGGCTGGCTTTATCTGACCACAGGTTGGGGCGCCTACCATATAGTATGCAATGAAGACCAGCAGGGAAGTCTCCTTGAATCCCCCTCAATTCTTTTACTAATTAGAAAAAAATAGCTCTTTAGTCCTAACGTTATCAAATTTCATCTCCACTTATCAAATACCACCACATTTCATTCATTAGACACCAACAACCCTAGTTATTATGTCAAAGCACAATTCAGCAAGTCATTCGCCTGGGGACAGGAGGGATATAGACCAAACAAGAGATCCTCCGTGGCTCTGGCTAAGCCAAAGGCCAACTTTCACTGAACCAGAGAAAAGACAATTTATTCTCCAGATCATTCCTCATAAACACATCTGTCTCTTTACCCCCAGCTTTTCAGGTGCCTTAAGCTTGAAGTTACATGCACAGAAAAGCTACCAGAGATCGCATTCTATGTTGTGAGAGAAGTCCAAAGCTGAAATGGGAGTTTTCCTACTCCGGTGGGAAAACTTAGGGGTGTGCTAAGACATGTGCCTCCAGAGAAACTCACCCTACTCCCCACAGGTGAGCGAGTGTCTGCTGGCAGTGCCCAGATTGCACTCAGACATTTTTTCTGCTCTTATACACAGATGAATGTGTAATCAAGACCCATCAGTTTTATACTACTGAGCACAGCCACAATAATTTTACCCCGGAAATTTTTTTGAATATTTTAAAGCTAATGTTACAAAGGCCCCAAAATGTACCTCCAAAAGAGATGGCTCTGAGGATGTAAACTGGCTGCAAAATTTACTACTAAATAAGGTAGTATCCTTTATAAAATAGTTGCAAGTTAGTTTTGATTTTGGTTTTAGAATAATTCATTAGGTAAGGCCAAATTAAGCATATACCAAGTGCCCAATAATTATTTCTTCAATGAATAAAGGATCAAATGAACCATCAATAAATGAGACAAAAAAAAATTAGAAACGTGTGTAGGGAGGAAATACTGTTTCATCAGAATATTCGTATTACATCTCATTTTTAAAAATTAATCTCTTTTGTTTTGCAGTAACTATAGTTTTGCATGCATGCAATTTTAAGTAATACAAAGAGATCCCATGTATCCTTTAAGCCAGGTTCCTCCAACATCTTGCAAAATTCTAGTGCAATATTACAATCAGGGTACCAACACTGATTCAGTTAAACTTGAGAACATTTCCATCATCCTAAAGATCTGTCCTATTGCCACATACACCCAATTCCCTCACTCTCTCCTTAATCCCTGGAGACCACTAATTCTGTTTTTCGTTTCTGTCACTTTTGACCTTTTTAAGAAAGTTAGGTATATAACCTTTTGTCATTCATTGCCTTTTCCCTCTTATACTGCTATGGAGACTCATCCAGGTTGTTGCATGTATCAACAGTTTGTTCCTTTTTATTGTGAGGCAGCACTGTATAATACAGAGGTACCATAGTTTGTTTAATTACTCAACTGTTGAGGAACACCTGAGTGATTTCATGTTTTTGAGTATTACAGTTAAAATTACCATAGCACTCATGTATAGGTTTTTGTGTGAAAATCAATTTTCAAGGGCGCCTGGGTGGCTCAATCAGTTAAGTGTCCGACTTCAGCTCAGGTCATGATCTGTTTGAGCCCCACGTCGGGCTCTGTGCTGACAGACAGACCCTGGAGCCTGCTTTGGATTCTGTGTCTCCCTCCCTCTCTGCCCCTCCCCCGCTCATGCTCTGTCTCTCTCTCTCTCAAAAATGAATAAACATTAAAAAAAAATTTAAGAAAATCAGTTTTCGAATTGACTAGAATAATCCTCCCCGGGGATGTGACTGCTGGGTTCAATGAGAACTGCATGCTTAGTTTTCAAGACACTGCCACCAGAGTCACTGTACCATTATACACCCCCACAAGCAATGTCTGAGAAATGTAATTTTTCTACATCTCTGCCATCATTTGGTACTTTTTTATTTTACCATGATGACAGGTACAGGTGATATTAGTTTTAATCTACATTTCCCTAATGGCTAATGACACTGAACATCTTTTCATATGCTGACTTGCTACCTGAGTATCTCATTATATTTTGTTTCATAAAAGAGCACTACCACTTAGAGGAAAAGAGAATAAACATCTTTTTGTTCCTTATTTCTGGGGTCATGGTGTACAATTTTTATGTTAGGAATGTCTCCAAAAACAAAGGTGAAATAAAATTTAATCTTGTATAGTTCATATTTTCACTCTCTTTTATCAGATGGTATTTTTTTGGCAACCTAGAACTGTCCATCAGAATGTTCATAATATGTAATATATGCTCATGACATGCTTTTTGCTTGTCATGGCATGTACATTAATCAGCACCCAAGCAGTCCATCTTTGTATAACTGCTTGACTGACTGGTAGCCATTTAAAAATGAGCTTTGGGGGCGCCTGGGTGGCGCAGTCGGTTAAGCGTCCGACTTCAGCCAGGTCACGATCTCGTGGTCTGTGAGTTCGAGCCCCGCGTCAGGCTCTGGGCTGATGGCTCAGAGCCTGGAGCCTGTTTCCGATTCTGTGTCTCCCTCTCTCTCTGCCCCTCCCCCGTTCATGCTCTGTCTCTCTCTGTCCCAAAAATAAATAAACGTTGAAAAAAAAAAATTAAAAATGAGCTTTGTTACAAATTTTTAAAAATTTCGTTAACTAATTATATAGGCCTTTCCTTAAAAGAAACTGAAAAATGATAACTTTAAGCATCCTCATTCAGCCATAAAACAAGTCTTATAAACTAAATGTGTAATAAGCTTACATCAACTAGAGCACAGAATCCATAATTAAGTGTAACTACATCTATTCAAAATGATTTTAATTACCATGGTTAAAGGATGTGCTGTTATACAAGAAAGTCTATTGTGTAAATGCCAGTTGCTAAATGTAGAAAAATACAGGCTGTCAAATGATTGGTTTTTTTCTTAGCAGATATAAAACAACTGTTTATATTACAAAGGCTGGTAAAACAAAAGTAAAGGGACGCCTGGTGCCGTAACATTCACTACACCCTGGGAATGAGGGGCACAACTCTGCTAGGAGGAGCACTCCAACTAGGTTGGGAGAGGGGGCTGCCCCATGGTTATGTCTGGGGGAAAAGCAGCTGGTTGTTATATGTGCGATATATTAACCAGTTTCATCCAGGGGTGCCTGGGTGGCTCAGTCGTCAAGCATCGAACTTCAGCTCAGGTCATGATCTCAGAGTTTGTGAGTTCGAGCCCCATGTCAACTCTGTGCTGTCAGCTCAGAGCCTGGATGGAGCCTGCTTCAGATTCTCTGTCTTCCTCTCTCTTGCCCCTCCCCTGCTCGCTGTCTCTCTCAAAAGTAAACATTAAAAAAAAATTTTTTTTAACAACAACAAAAAAAAAAACCCCAGCTTCTTCTTTAAGCATTACCTAGTACCATAAAACTTTATTCCTACATGTCCAGCTCAGCACTAGCCATAATAAAGCCAAGTTGAGAACAAATTCAGTCCTCTGACACCTGTCCTGGTCAATGCCTGGGAAAGTGGGACTCTGAACAAGGGCAGAAAGACAATCAAGTAACCCAGTCACATGTCAGGGATACACCTCATTGAAGAGACTATCTTTTGAAATAAAACAAAGATTAAAAAATACAGTAAAATAATATACATTGCACATTACTCACCATATTTTATAGTGAATGATGAGAAAAAAAAGAGAGGAGAAAATAAATTCAAGGACAGGGACAAAGAGACTAACAGGGATGCAGAAAGAGATAAAAACTCAGAAAAAGCAAAGACAGAGTAAATACATAATCAGAAAGCAGACAGACATAAAGATGCCCACACAGAGCAATGTGGAACTGAAGGATGTTCATAGAGCAGCATCCCTATCTTCAGGCTCACAAGCACAGAAAAAAATATAAAAATGCATTCTTAGAACTCAAAGTATTTA